TCTGCAGGTGTTAGTGAAGACGCAGGAGGACTTGAGTTGGGGAACACACGTCTGCAGGTGTTAGTGAAGACGCAGGAGTACTTGAGTTGGGGAACACATGTCTGCAGGTGTTAATGAAGACACAGGAGGACTTGAGTTAGGCACCGACTTCCGTCAGCAGCACAGTCGCGAAGCTCACTCTTGATCTGATGAGACCACAGGAAACCAAACTCCTACTGGGTGATGGGTGAACCGTGAAAACACGGCGCATGGGGCTGACTTTGTCCCACTCGTTCCTGAAAATCTGTGCACTGTGTGTGGGCAGAGTTTTCCGAAGCTAAGACATGGGCACGCTGTGACACTGAGCCAAGCTGTGGCCACGTGTGATAGCCCTAGAGCTGCAGAAATGCGTGTTTCAGCCCTCCCTGTTCGCAGAGTGCCGTCTTTGGGCATCCTGTCTCCAGGGTTTGTTCTGGAGTGTGTCTGTGTCCTAGGAGGTGACTGAGGTGTACTGACTTTTACTGCTTAGCTGTCTATGCCAGAGAACAAAACTCAGAGCAGTGAGGCTTGGTTTGGGTTCCAGGGCCAGACTGAGGGGATCAGAGCTAACAAAGAAAACTGTCTGCCATCTAGTCCTGCTTTACCTAATCCATATAGTCTTTAGAGAAGGTGGCGGTAAGAATCACAGCCTCTTCCAAAAGACTTTTTGATTTATTATTTAATTTTATGTGTGAGTGTTTTGTCTGCATGTGTATATATTCATCATATGTGTGCTGGTGCCCTTGGAGGCCATAAGAGGGGTTGGTGGATCACGTGGAACTGGAGTTATAGATGGTTTGAGCTGCCACATGGGTGCTGGTACTGAACCTGGGTCTTTTGTAAGAGCAGTCCGTGCTCTTAACCACGGAGTCATCTTTTCAGCTCACCCAGCCTTCTTCGGGAATGGTATTAAAGATATAGAGGAAGGAAATATTGAGTATAGTGTTGTAACATGAGGGTCGGCTTGTTGGGGTTTCTGTCCCGCCCAGTACCCCACAGCCGGCAAGCCCCAGGGAAAAATCAATCACACAGAGATCTCTATAAGTTATAAAGCTGATTGGCCCATTAGGTCAGGCTACTTATTAGCTCTTATAACTTATGTTACCCCATTATCCTTATCTACGTTAGCCACATGGCTCTGTACCTTTTCCAGCGGGGCAGCTTACATCTTTTCTCTCCAGTGGTCTGGGCAGAACTGCGGAGGGAGCTTCCTGCTTGCCAGAATACTCCCAGTCTCTTTGCTCCACCTCTACTTCCTGTCTGGCTTCCCGCCTATACTGCCTGCCTGGTCAATCAGCATTTTATTAAAATATGATTGACAGAATACAGACAATTCTCCCGCACCATACTGTGTGTGCGTGTGTGTATGTATGTGTGTGTGTATTGGTATATGTTTGTGTGTCAGGAAGAGAAATATGACAATTCAGGAATACAACTCTGTAGTGTTAGAACATCAGGTAGTATGTGTTTAGAATGGAACCCCAGGGAAGCAATCAGGGAAACACCCAAGCCCTTTCTCCCTCCTCTGTTGTCACACTCTGAGAAAACAGATTCTCTAGTTTAAAACCTTAGAAAGAAGCACCATTAGTATATTCTCTTGTGCGTAGAGGTGGAGACAGTGTGCGTGTGTGTCAGCTCATGGAGGCCCAAGGAGGCCATCAGCCACCCTTCTTTGTCACTCTCTTCCATATTCCTTTGATACATGGTTTCTCACTGACCCCAGTGCTAGGCTGGTGGCCAGAAAACCCCGGCCACCCTTCTAGTCTCTGCCCCTTATAGCTGGGGATAAAGATGCACACGTGGTCACGTCCAGCTTTTTAGATGGGTGTTGGGGACCTGAGCTTGGGCCTCATGCTCGCCCAGCACACTCTGCCCTACTAAACCATGTCTTTGACATATTAAGATATGGAAACCCATTATTTTTCAAAGTGGTAAAATAACTGGCAGCTTTCCATTTTAGCTAATTTTAAGTAACCAGTTCAGTGTTGTTAAATACATTCACGTTGTTGTACACTTTGACCACTTCTCTAGAACCTTCTCCTCTTCCCCTTTCTGGAACAGCTGCACAACCACTGTTCTACACCTACTGTCTGTCTGGATTTAACTACTGTGTGTGCTTCATATCACAGGATCACAGCGTTTGCCCTGTGGCTTCTTTCACCTAGCATAACGTCTGACCTGATTCTCTGGCTGATGCCGTTCTCCCAACACTGTTCCTCGAAACGATTTTATACTTGACTTCATTTGTTGTGCTATGGAACCGATACAAGATATTACAACTTTTTCAGACAATGCCCTTATGAATGTTCCGTCCTGATGGCAAATGGGTGTGTGCTTGTTCCTAGGCATGGAAGAGAAGGTGGTTTGTGTTGCGCAGTGGCCGTTTGACCGGAGACCCCGATGTCCTGGAGTATTACAAAAACGACCACGCCAAGAAACCCATCCGGATTATTGATTTAAACTTATGTCAGCAAGTTGATGCTGGGCTGACGTTCAACAAGAAGGAGTTTGAAAACAGCTACATCTTTGATATCAACACCATTGACCGGATTTTCTACTTGGTGGCAGACAGTGAGGAGGACATGAACAAGTGGGTCCGTTGTATCTGTGACATCTGTGGCTTCAATCCCACAGAAGAAGGTAGGCCCAAAGGTTTCATTTTGTGTTTTTTTTAAAATTTATTATATGTGTGTGGATGTTTTGCCTGTGTGTATGTCTGTGCACCACATGCATGCAGTGCCTGAGGAGACCTGAAGAGGGCGTCAGACCCCCTGGGACTGGAGTTACAGATGGTTTTGAGTGTCCATGTGCTGAGAATTGAAACTGGGTCCATCTCTCCACACCCAGAGCTTAAGGCTTTTATTAGTTTGAACAGTCCTTATTTTTTTTTTACTATAGTTTAAGAAAGTTACAAAATTCTGTATTCTTTCAGTTATATGCCTCATTATTTTGTTTTTGCAATAGGAGTTTGACACTTAGAGTGAGCACTGAACTCTTCAGGCAGTTTGGGGAGAAGTTCTACAGGTTTCCAGAGACTTAATTGGCGTGCGCCAGTGTCTAAGTAACTGTCCTCATGAAAACAGTGATAAGAACATTTTTAAACGTTGGCATTTTGCTGATTTGGGGAAGGGAACTGCACTTGCTGCAGTGTGAGCATGGGCCCAGGAGTGCTGCGAGGTCAAAGGACACAGCTTGTAGAAGTTTGTTTTCTCTTCCCCATGTAGGAGTCCTGGCGCTTTAATTCAAGTTGACGGCAAGTGCTTTTACCTGCTTTAGCCGCTTCGCTGGCCTGAGAACATTTCCAATTAATTTTTTTTGTTATAATACAAGAAAAAAATGTCCCATGTGTGGTAGGATGAGACATGCATATGTGTCATTACGCTTGTTGCTCCGTCCGTGATCATTGGCCCCTCCCACCTTCACCTCTTCCTGTCCCCTTCCTTGCCACAAGTGGGTCCCCTTGGACTTTGGGACTTAAATATCCCATCACCTCCATTTGCCCCCCTTGACCTTTTGACCTCGCCCCCTTCAGGTGTGCCCTTCCTAGTTTCCTGAAAAAAAAAGACACGTTTTTAAATGCTCTGTCATAAATGTACTGAGTGGTTTTTTTTTTAAATATTTAATGGAACGCTTTCCTTGGTTTTTAGATGTCAGGATTGGTTGGTTACAATCGTGTCAGCTTTTGCTCCCACATTGGCTTAACGAGGGTATTTAGGGATAGAACCCGAAGCTATCTTTCCAGTGGCAGAACTCTGAAGTCTTTAGGAATCAGTTAGCAAGATATTCGGGCTAAGTGAAACTTTCACCCTTTGTGTCTTCGCAACCACGCGTGAAGGGCAGAAGAACCTGAGCTGCGTAGAAAGTCATCGCTCCGATGTGGGCCGTGCGCTCTGTGAGCCTGTTGCCAGAGCAGCGTTGCTCATCGGAAGCCTTACTTGTCCATGTCCATTCCCTCGGTCCTCAGGTTTCAGTGTCTCTGATCCTTCTTCAGCTCCTGAAGCAGGATGGGAATTATATCTTAGATGCTATTAGTTCATGTTTTCACAGCTTCCTCTAGCTGTCTCCCCAAATAGCCGAGAGTCTTGATGTACTGTATTGATGTATAAGCTGAGTTTCTCAAATAAAGCTATAGAAGGGTGACCCGTTATTACGTCGTGTTAGAGGGAGCCAGAAAGAGCAATGTACTCTGTAATTCTACTTTTCAGTATGTGGTGGAAAACTGCAGAATATGCTTTAAAAACCAGCATTCCACATCCTCATGCATTGGTAGTGCATAGCTTCAGTGAATCTGAAGCTCTGTGTTCAATCCTAACAGCAGAGAAGAGCTTTGTGGCCACGCTTAGCTGGTGTGATCAGGACTGGATGTCTGCATTCTCCGTTAGGTTTGCCACCATTTTAAAAGCTCTCTCTCTCTCTCTCTCTCTCTCTCTCTCTCTCTCTCTCTCTCTCTCTCTCTCTCGTGTGTGCGTGTGCGCGCACTTGAGTGCACTCATGCAGGCACCTGGCTAAATTTATTTAATTATTTTTATTTATTTTGGTATTTTGAGACAAAGTTTCTCTGTGAAACAGTCCTGGCTGTCCTGAAACTCACTCTGTAGACCAGGCTGGCCTCAAACTCTCAGAGATCCGCCTGCCTCTGCCTCCCAAGTGCTAGGATTAAAGGCGTGCACCACCACCACCACCTGGCTTAAATTTTATTTTTTATCATAATTATTTGGATGATCTGCCAGCATGTATGTGTAGTACCAGTAGAGGCCAGGAGAGGGTATCAGATCCCTTGGAACTGAAATTGGAGACAGTGGGTTTTTGTTTTGTTTTGTTTTGTTTTTTTAATTGCGGGCATTTCTCCTGCATATATTATTCTGCACCACATTCTGCCTGGTGCCTGTGGAAGTCAGAAGAGGGTGTTGGGTCCCCTAGGACTAGAGTTACAGGCAGTTGTGAGCTGCCATGTGGGTGCTGTATATCAAACCAGGGTCCTCTTCCATGCCTGCTGTTTCCATCCATACCTCATAACTAATCCCCAAACGCTAATAGGTACTTTTGCCTTTCTCGGCTCTGTCCCTGAGCCCTGTGCTCTCCATTCAAAGGCTGGATACGCACTGTTCTTTGCTCAGACGTTGACTGATACCTCAGGATGTGTTTCTTCTGTTTGAGTTTCAAGCCAGATGTGGGAAGAAATAGACGGCCCAGACAGCAATGCCCCCTGGTTCCTGTGAGAATAGCTCATTTTCCCCTGAAAACAAAAGGAAGGGAAAAAGCTGACCTATGTTCTGATTCCAGGAACCCCTCAAAATATCATTTCTGTGTTATTTCCGCTGCCCCAGGTGACCGCTGCTATTATTGAACACGGAGAATGCTGGCCGGCTGTCCTGTTTTTCAGTTCTAGCGCGTTGAGTTGTGTGTGGCTCCCACGGAGGCTTTCTTTAGTGGATTTGTGGATAGACTCTGGCTTGTTTTGTTTTTCTTGGAAATGTGCAGATTGACTTTTTTTGTTTGGGCGCACCAAGGTGGAAGCTGTTAACTCTGCTAAATAAACGCTGAGAGGGCCAGCCGGGGCTGCAGGAAGCTCTGACATCCAGCAAAACCTCTGGGCTAATTTTAGGGCATGCGCTTAGAAAGCTGCCAGGACTGCTTTTCTCGAAGCATCCAGATCATAGTAGTTTAGTTTTAAAGATGCAGTTCTCAGTTTGATATTCTTCCCTTTAGTAAGCTAGATACACTGACATTTAAGAAAAATAGACGCAGACTGAGGAGGTAGCTTAGTAGAGTGTTTGCCGAGCCGGTACAAAGCTCTGGGTTTGATCCTTCACACAGCGTAAACCCAACATGATGGTACATGCCTGTAAATTCCAGCATTTCAGAGGTGGGGGCAGGAGGATCAGAAGTTTAAGGTCATTCTTGCCTACATGGACATAGAAGATCCTTTCTCAGAGATGAAAAGGAAAGAGTTTGGGGCGGTGGATTGAGGGTGGCCCCCTTTTCATAAAGCAGTATTTAATAATCAAGAACACATAATACAAGCAAACCCTCTTACACATTATGTCTGTGTGCCACTTGCCGACTTGGTGCCTGTAGAAGTCAGAAGATGGAATTAGGTCCCCAGAACTGGAGTTCCAGGCAGGCGTGACCTACCATGTGGGTGCTGGGAATTGGACCTGGGTCCTCTGGAAGAGCAAATAGTGCTCTTAACCACTAAGCCTTCTCTCCAGACCCAGTAAAAAGAAACCTTTTTTTTTTCTTTTCAATCTTTTTTTTTTTTCTTTTGTCACAGGTCTCAAACTCAGATTCTCCTGCCTCTGCCTCCTGGGTACTGGAATTTAAGGTGCGTGCCACCACACCCAGCTCTCTTTTTACCATTTTTCTTCAAGCATTATCTATTATTACAACGGTGTAGTCATAGGTTGTCAATGCATTGCTTCAAGGTTTTATGTGTGTTTATCTGCACACATATAAACATAAGTGTGCTAAAAAGTTCTAGCTCAGATTAAGAATTTCAGCATTCACATTCCACCAGGGAATCCTTTATCTAGAGATAGCCCCACCTCATGAACTTCTACGCCACCCCACAGTGGACTGTCATGCCGTCAGGTCGCTGAATAAGAACGGCGGCATCTGTCAGCATCTCCTAAGGATTAAAAAGACTCCAAGAAGGTTTTGAAATCTGTGGGGAATAGAGGCTTGGAAAGTGAAGAGACACTTTGTACTTGAAACACAGCAAACAAGTTTTGAAGTGAGTGGTGCAGAGGCCTGCTTGGTTGATGAAGCTGTGGAAGCTGCAGTTTCCTTCTCTGGCAGTGACTACTGGGTCACAGATAACCTGCAGGAATCATCTCCTTCCATCGTGTGGGTCCTGGGAACAGACTTAAGGTCATCAAGCTTGGCAGCAAATGCCTTTACCTGTTGAACCATCTCACTGGGCCACTAAATTTTCATGATCATACATTGTGTGTGTGTGTGTGTGTGTGTGTGTGTGTGTGTGTGTGTATGTATATATATATACTAGTAATTTTGAAATGATGTTTCATACAATGCACAAGTATATTTTGGTCATGTCCACTACCACGTAAGACACCATTCTCTCTTGCCCCCCTATTCTTGTCAATCTCCTATATTTACCTTTTAACACAAAGCATGATGTTCCTAAATAGCAAAAACCAACACATAGGGTGAAGGGGTCATGTGAGCCAGTTTATTCTTTGTGGATCTACTCAAATGATAATCTCCCGTTCTGTGCTGAAGACTTGCTGGAAGGTCTCGCCTCGGAGGTGCCTGTTAGCTTTCTAAGGAAATTCCAATTAGGTGTTTGCTCCAGGGGCTTATTAGGCCTTTAAAGGTGTTAATCATAGTCTTGGTGCATTCTGAGTTGAGCCATGGGGAATGATTTTACATGTGCATGCAGACTTTGAACCACTGTTTTGTTCTTAGGAAGATACCTAGAGAGAGGAAAAGGTCAGAAATCCAAGCAAGACAGAGGGCAGAGTGGCCTTAGCCATGGGGCTTGTGGTCCAGAAGTGGCTGAAGTCACACACAGCCTGTAAGGTCCAACAGCAGGCTTTTGGAGTAGCTCGACTCCAGCGGAAATCTTAAGTTAGAGAGGATTTAGGCACAGTTCAAAATTTTTGATTGACATCATTTATTTGTGTGTGAGTGTTGTCTGTGTGTGCATGCATGTGCACACACATGCACACTCATGTCATAGAGCAGAACTCAGAGCACCAGGGAGTTGTGGAGGCGGAACTCAGGTCGTCAGGTTAAATGACTGCGCTCAGTCAGAGCTGGTGGCGCATTAACCCTTTAGCATGTTTTGCGTATTTCCTTTTTTAAAGCCCGACTTTCCCTCAGCCTTCTCCTTTCTGTTCGTTTATTCACATCTGAGTATTGCCTTTTCCTTGGCTATTGATGGCCTTGCCGTCTGTCAGGGCCCTTAAAATTATACCTTGTCGTGTCAGAAACTGCAGAGGGTTTTATTTCTAGACGTACAACTTACTCAACTTATTTTCCAGTCATACCCTTCTGCACAATTTTCATTTATCGTTTTGGAATATGGTTAAGGGATGAGTGGATTGCTTCTTTGCTCGCTGACTGTCTTTTCCTGAGAATTCTGCAAACTGTCCGGTATGGTGTGAGCCCAGGGCAGAGGCTCTGATGCTGACGATGGGGAGTTCATCTTCACTAGCCTCTGAATTAGACAGATTTTCCCCAAGCCACGGGAGAAGTAGAAAGGAAAGAATAAGCAGCACCCTGGGTGTAGCCTCGAGAGCAGACCCAGGAGCGTCCACCAGCATTATGACCCTCCATCAACATTGTGACCGTCAAGGCTGCTGTCCTTGGAAGACCGGCTCAACCTAGAACACACTTCCTCAGCATGGTGGGTGGGGGGAATCCCAGAACAAAACAAAACAAACAAGGAACCTGTCTCTTGGCTGGAGAGATGGCTCAATGGTTCAGAGTACTGGCTGTTCTTGCAAAGGCCACAGGTTCCGTTCCTGGTGTCTACATGGTAGCTCATGACCACCTGTAACTCCCCTTCCAGAGCACCCAATGCCCTCTTGTGCCCTCCAAAGGCACCAAGCATGCGTATAGTGACAGTGCACAGACATATGCGCCAGCCAAACACCTATGCACAGTAAATTAAATTAACATTAAAAATGTGTCCTGCTAAGATCATAGAACATTTTTATTTTAAATTTAAGTAGTTTCAAGACTAAGTATAGTTCAGAGTTCCGTTACCGTGGTCTCATGAGGAGGGGATGTAGACGTGTGTGCATGCATGTTCACATGCGTGTGGATGCCAGAGGTTGGTATCGTTTTCTCTATCTCTTTTCATTTTGAGTCAAAGTCTCTCACTCTGCTCGAGGCTCAAGAGGGTTAGACTAGGTGGCCAGAGAGCTTTAGGGATGTGCTTGGCTTTGCGTGCGTGTTTCAGGGATCTCAGTTCAGGCCTCCTGCTTGCATGACAGGCACTTTACCACCTAACTGAGCATTTCCTCAGCCCCAACTGAGACTTCTTTAGGGCCCCTGGATAAAGGGAAGGTTGTTCTCCAGACATCTCTGGCAAGAATCAAACAGCTCATAAATGTTGCTATGTAAGTGGTATTTGCTGCTTTGTTCCAAGGTGCCATCTTATTCGTTTGCCCAGATTGGCCTTGAACTCCTGAGTGTGAGCAGTTTTCCACATCAGTCTTCAGAATAGCTAGCACTGCACACGTGCAACGCTGCCTGTGGCCTTGGGTAGTATTTGTTTTAACCAACACACACCATTTATTCTGGTTTCGTGCATTAAAAGAGTTTCTCTTCAAAGCTGCTTAGTCTAACAACATCAACAAAGCCTTAAACTGTGATAGATTGAAAATTAAACTTTATTGCAGATCCCGTGAAGCCCCTTGGCAGCTCCTCGCAAGCGCCGGTTGATTCACCTTTCCCTCTGAATACAGCACCAGCCTCCGCCCAGCTGGAAGCCTCTTCCTCAGCAGCACTACCTCCTTCTTACCAGCTCATCAGCCTCCCGCCACACCCAGACACTCTAGGCCTCCAGGATGACCCACAGGACTACCTCTTGTTGATCAACTGTCAAAGCAAGAAGCCTGAACCCACCAGGTACATGATAGATGCCATCATGTATGTGTGTGTGTGAGTGGGTGTGAGTGGGTGCATGCATGTGCACATATGTACACGTGTGTGTGTAGAATTTAAAAGCCTAGCTTACACGAAACCATCTCAGTAGGCTTACAGTGCGGGTTTGTATTATAGGTTTGTTAATGATTTCCATTGTCTGGGAGGTCTTTTGTTGATGAAACCGTTTCTGCCATCATGGCCGTGAATCACAGTGTACCTACACGGCTCTTTGGAAAGAGTCTTGCAGTTTTTGTTACTTGCTTGACGATGTCACTGACTTGTGAATGGTGACCTTGCTCCATTTCTTATGTGATTGTAAACCAGCCAAGGGTCATCTTTTGTTTCTGAAGAAGGAGAGGAGTACCTACTACTAGAAGATTTTGAAAGCAAACCGATCCCATTGCAGTGAGTGTGCTATAGTTTTGGATCTGTGTGAGAAACTAATCGCACAGGTAAAATCCCAATATGGCAAATCCTAGAGGCTAGGTGGACTGGGGGAGGGAGGGCAATGGCGCTTCATGAAATCAGATAGACCACTAAAAGCTACAACCCTTTCAAACCTTTCTCCCCAGACACGGAGCAGTGCTGACCCCGAAGCCTTGATTTTACAGGTTTTTAAGTAGAAATTTATGGAGTGTATGACTGACCCAGAGGGTCCAAAAAGCCTTTCCCCAATGCTTGGTACGGGGGTCATCACCCCCTCCACACACATACCTCATTCTATAATCCCAAAAATATTTTATGTTGGTCATCTTTGGCTTTTGGGAAGTTGGAAGGCATAAAGCGGCAGAGGAGGTCAGAGCACAGTTATTTCACTATCTGAGGAAGCAACAGGAAAACGAAGATCAATAACAGGCCAGTGTCTGCTGCTAATAGCCTGGGACCGTCGGTGACAGCAGTGCCAGCTAGTGTATTCATTCACAGTACAAACGTGGCAGTGACCTGCATAGCACACACAGGATGTTTATAAACCAACGTGGTGAGGAGTTTAGGCTTTATTGTCTCTATAACAAAAGCGTTTCTTTTCTCAGTGTTAAGAAAGTGATTATTGATTAGAATAGTGTTTGGGAAAATACTTGTTATGTCGAACCTGTAGAGTGTAGTGGCAGATGCCCTAAATCCCAGCACTCGGGAGGCAGAGGCAGGTGGATCTCTGAGTTCGAAGCCAGCCTGGTCTACAGAATGAGTTCCAGGACACCAGAGCAACCCTGTCTTGAAAACAAACAAACAAACAAACAAACCAACAAAAAACCAAAAGAATGTAGAGCTCAAACCCCTCAGAAAAAGCTTCTGTGAAGCCTTCCCTGGGAGAGCGGAAGGATCTCGGGAACATTCCGCAGATGGTTCTGTCTGTTTGTTATAATGGAATTTTACCTGTGAGAGCAAGAAAGCTGTGCAAACCAACACTAGTTACTAGTGCCCAGTTCTAACCCAGCTGTGCTTGTTTGCTGTGAGGGCTGCACACTTGTGACTTGTCCCTGTGCCACTAACGGAGACTTTGCCTTCTGGAGACTCACCGTTACTTTCGGGTGGGGTGTTGTTTCTAAGAGGCCAACTGATCGGTGGCAGTGATGAGTGCATTTTCTTTTTATGACCGCGCTCTCATTAATCACTGGCACAACACCATTACTGCTCCGGGAGAAACTGTTCTAGAAATGTCTGCATCCGATACTTGAACAGAGTGACCGTGAAATAACAAACGTTTCTGAAGTACCCAGCCATGCCCACCGTTATGCTAGGAGCTGTGAAGATACAAACTGATCCCACAGGACACTGAGATGCAGTCGCCCTGGGAGCTCTCAAGTGAACCTTGTGAAGAAGCCAGAGAGTGTGAACGGGAAGTACTTACAGATTCAGACATAGGTGGTGTTGGTCACACCCGCTCTTTCTTCCTGCTGGGACTTAGCTGAAACACACGTTCCTCCAGGAAGCCTCTCTCTGGGTTCTTAGGCTGAAATGTCCCTCTGGGTTGGTGGGGTTTTGTGGTTGTCTTTTAACGTTTGTTTATTTATATGTGTGTGTGTGTGTGTGTGTGTGGTGGTGGGGTCACCCCTACCACAGTGCTTGTGTGCACAGCAGAAGACAAACTGGAAAGGAGTTGGTTTTCTCCTCCACTGTGTGGGTTCCAGGGACCATCCTCAGGCTGGGTGGTGAAGGCTTTTACCCACCGAGCCACCCTGCCAGCCTTCTCTGGGTTTTTACACCATACTAGCTATACGGTGCCCAAATCTCTATCTTACTGTAGTATCGGAAATAACTCAGTAGGTATTCTTTCCCGCCACGAGAGTTCGAGCTGGCGGGATCCAGAAGCTTTCCCCACGCTGTGGGATCCCACATGCAGGCTGCAGGAGGTGCGTATTTTAGAGCTTGCATGGGTACTTGAGGAATTCTACAAGAATAGTTTGAGCATTGTTTTCAAGATGGAAAAACAAAGCAGAGTCAGTAAGATAGTTTAGTTAACACACAAGCTGGACATCTTGAGTTCAATTCTCAGAACCTATGTGGAGATAGAAGGAAAGACCTGACTCTGAGAAGTTGTCAACAGCCCCTGACACACAAACACACACACACACACACACAAATAACGTTAAGTGTTATTGGGAACCTTGATACTCTGAGCTGGTCTTTGGCCTTAAAGTCAAACCACCTCTAGCAATCTATAGTTTTCTCTAATTAAATCAATACTGTAAAAACTATGTTTTGAAAATATTGGTATGAGCTCACGTGGGCAGATTGGAAAGGGAGGGTTCTGTGCTGAGGGTATCACAGAGATTTGCCTGAACTTGGCGTAGAGTGGGAACAGAGCAGGGGACACATAAATGGGAGGGAGGAAGCGAGGGAGGGAGGATGGACTCAAACTCAGGGCTGGACTGGTGGTAGGGGTCTCAGGGACTCAAGCTTCAAGGATACTGAAGTTAGAGAGTCTGAGTGGAGTCACTTTTGTCCACGACAGTCCAGGAGGACAGCTAGTTTGTAAAGGACAGCAGTTTGCACTGGGGCACGTGCGCAGGATAAGGGTGTTATATCATACAGGGATACGCAAGCAGGAATAGGACTTTGAAAATAGGGGACTCGGAGTTCGTTGCGAAGAGAGCTGTCCACATTTCCTTGGAGAAGGTGAAGAGGTGAGAAAGAATCCCCCCATGAAGTGTGCGCAGCTTTGGTGGCCATTTCTGAGTAGAGATTGAGGGAGGTGCCAGCCTCTGAGCAAAGGTCCTGCAGGACAAAGCTAAAGAGAAGGGAAGTAGTCTAGTATAGTGTGACGTCTCTGCCCCAAAGTGGGAGGGGACCCAGGGCAAAGGTGACACAGAGCCAGGTGTAACTGAGAAATATACAGGGCTGTAGAGGTGGCTCAGTGGTTAAGAGCGGGTTCAGCTCTGAAGAGGACCCACGTTCTGTCCCTAGCACCTACTTAGGCAGTGCACAGGCACATGCGACTCCGGTTCCTTGGATACCTGCCTATGTGCACATACACACATCCATAAGTTTAGAAATAACAATAATTAATCTTTTTTTGCAGGTACTAGAAATCTATCCAAAGCAGGATTATCTCAAATGAGATTTGCTATGATTGTTGGGTTAGTCAACCCCGTGCCGTGTATTTCGTTCCTTTTAATAGCGCGGGCTGAGTGTCTCCAAAGAGAGAAGCCTGTTGTCCCCTTGGAAGTCCTCTGCAGTTCCCGCTTGGATTTTGGGTTTGCAGAGCAGTTTATCAAGGTTGAAGAGGGATAGATGGACTGTGTAATCTGGGCGGGTGCCAGGCTTTTTGTTTGTTTGTTTTTGCATGTTCTTGGTAGAAAATGCTTTCCTTGTGTCTCTTTGGAGTTCTGTGGTGTCTGATCAGTGCTGAGGAGTGTGTGTGTGTGTGTGTGTGTGTGCGCGCGCGCGCGTGTGTGTTTCCTTTATTGCAAATGGGCATGGACAAGTACAGGATGGGAATTATTGAGAATGCTTCTGGCAGTTGGTGGTGGTGGTTTTGTTGATTTATAATTATATCCAACTAAAGAACATTTATGCTTCCTGAATCTTATGGATCACACACACAAAAAAACCAGTCTAACAGAAAAACATACTTTGTTTGCTGAACTATAGCATGTGTGTCCAACCTGAATCTGTTTATCCTGACTCTGTTTTATTTTTGACATTCCCAATTGTATCCAGAACCCACGCTGACTCTGCAAAGCCCACCCCTTCCGAGACAGACTGCAATGACAACGTCCCTTCCCATAAGACCCCTGCTTCCTCCCAGAGCAAACACGGAATGAACGGCTTTTTTCAGCAGCAAATGCTGTATGACTGCCCGCCAAACCGGGCTCCCTCCGTCTCCGTAGACGCCAGCCTCTATAACCTGCCCAGAAGTTACTCCCATGACGTGTTACCAAAGGAGTCTCCGTCAAGCACTGAAGCAGACGGAGAGCTGTATGTCTTTAATACCCTGTCTGGGGCTTCGAGTGTAGAAGCTCAGATGAGACATGTATCTATCAGTTATGACATTCCGCCAACACCTGGGAACACTTACCAGATTCCACGGACATTTCCAGAAGGCACCTTGGGACAGTCATCAAAGCTGGACACCATTCCTGATATCCCCCCACCGCGGCCACCAAAGCCACATCCAGCTCATGACCGGTCTCCCGTGGAAACGTGTGGCCCCCCACGCGCAGCTTCAGACACCGACAGCAGTTACTGTATTCCTGCAGCGGGCGTGCCGCCGTCCCGGAGTAATACCATTTCCACCGTGGATTTGAACAAGCTACGGAAAGGTCAGCTCCAGCAGGTTCTTCTCTGTCAGGGGTCAAGCCTGGTTTTCTGAGGGGCTAGAGACATGGCTCAATAGGCCAGAGCCTTCACTGCTCAAGCAGAGAGGGGCCTAAGCTCGGATCCCAACGCCCGCTCAAGAGAGTGGTTCCAGAGTACACCTGACATCCCCCCTCGTCTCCACTCACTGTGAAGGCACACAGGCAAACGAATCCACATGCACATGTGCACATATACCGCATTCATTCAGACACATACATGTACATGCAGGAAAACCCGCTTTCCTCAGTAATCGCTCCTTTCTGTATAGTATTATGTTAAAGGGTATTTATCTCTTTTTTTCTGTAACCCTGGCCCCCACACATATAGCCATGATATGAGAGTCAGTACATCCCTGAAGGGTGTGTCTGTCTGCCTGCCTGCTCAGTTAGAAAGACCTGGATCATCTAATGCCTGGAAATGTATGCTCGTATGCCTCCCACCTTCTAGGACTTCTGCAAAGTGAGCTATCTGAGCAGAAGTCGTCCTGGCTATGTTCTTGTCTGTGACCATGTGCCATCATGGCCCCGTCTGTGTCAAGTCTCTTGGGTTTTCCCCCTTCCCTCCTCTATCGCAGTTTTTGTTTTTGACTTAATAGGAAATGACACTGTTCAAATCAGACCATTGTGCTGTTTCTGCTTTGCAATCTTTAGAGCATTGAGTGTCCTCTCTGTCCATCCTTGTTGACTGACTGTGGGGCGCTTGTCTTTCTCCGTCTTGTAGAGCCCGCGAACACAAACTAGAGACTTTGGGAGTGGGGACTATGTCTGGCTTTTTCTCCCCGAGTCTTAAGCTTTGGTGCAGTTGAATGCGTGTGTTGAGCATACCGTCCTCATGTCCTTACCGTTCTTTCCTCCCTTCTCCCTGTTCCTGTTGGTTCCCTTGTTCTCCTAGAGAGTTTTGTTTTTGCTTTCATGTTATGTACAGTTTTGTATGTCAGCATAAAATCTAGTGACCATAAAACTTGATTGTTTTTATGAGATTTGTATAATTCTTTGAATATAATTATCTCAAGTCGCATCCATCTTCTTGCAAATGCATGACGTTAGTCTTTGCTTTATTCTCTTTTTTGCCTTTGTTTATTCATTTATGGTGTGTAGGAGGGCAGAGGACACCATTCAGGAGCCAGTTCTCCGCTTCTCCCGTGGGGTCCTAGAGAACAGCTCAGGTCCTCAGGCTTAGCAGCTGAGTCCTCTGGCTAGTCCAGACTCCTTCCATGCCCCTGCTGGTGGGCGCTTAGCCTGGCTGTTGTGAGCAGGGCTGCAGGGAACACTCTGATGATGTGCAGGTCTCAGATCCATCGCTCTGAACCCTCAGGAGTGGTGTAGCCGCGCCACACCGTAGCTGTGGTTTGACTGACTTCTGTTCTTAGGACTCTTCCATCCTGGCTCCCCCAGTAGCTACTCTGGTTACGTTCCCACCGGCAAGATTTTCAAGCCCTCTTTTGTCCACATCCTTGCCAACACTTTAGTTGTTTTGTGTTTGCTTTTGTTTAATGACCAACCTTCTGACTGGGGTAAGGAGGAATCTCAGTGTAGTTTTAATTTGCATTTCTGTGATAGCTAGTGAGGCTAAACAGGTTTTTGTGTGTGTTAACCGCCATTTGTGTCCCATCCTTTGTGTACTGGATATTCCTTTAATCAGCCCGTTTATTGACAATTTTAGTGGCCCTCAGTCTTCCTAATGTTGCCACCGTTTGATACAGTTCCTCATGTGTGACAGCACCGCCCCCCACACACACACTGCAAGCATAAAATTACCTTCGATGCTACTTCCTAATTGTAATTTTGCTACTGTTACGGATTGTAATCTAAGTATGTATGTTTTCTGATGGTCTTAACAGACCCCTGTGAAAGGCTCATTCGACTTCAAAGGGATCGATGGAGACCCCCAGGTTGAGAACTGCTGGGCTAGGTCTTTTGTTCTTGTTGTTTGTTTGTTTGTTGAGTTTATTCTTGGTATGAGTCCTCTGTCAGTTGTGTAGCTGGCAAAGTCTTTCTCCTGCTCTCTAGGCCATCTCTTTACTCATCAGCTTCTCCCTTGGCTCTCCAGAAGCTTCTTACCTCCTACAGTCTCACTTGCTAGTTCTGGGGACTTAGTGTCCTTGCCTCTGGGCACACCAGCAGTCTCCCCCCCCCCCTTTTTTTCCTCCAGCCACTTCAGAGTTTCAGGTCTTACAGTAAGGCTTTTGATACTCTGGGAGCTGATTTTTGCAGGATAAGCTGCTGGGATCTAGTATCGTTCTTCTGCAGGTGGATATCCTGTTTTCCCAGCACTCTTTGTGGAAGGGACTGTGTTTTCTCGTGTGTATTTTTGGCATCGTTGTAAAAACCATCAGGGGGTGCTGTAGCTGCCTGGGGTTATATCTGGGCCTTCTTAGCTCATTGATCTACCTGTCTGGCTTTGTGCTACGATCATTGTTTCTCTAAGATTTTTAAAATTATAAAGTTAGAAAGCAATGCTTTAGGTACACAGGCCCTGAGAACTGTGTGTTAGCATTTCTATGTTTTGTGGTAGAGTTTTCTAACTGTTGCAAAAAAAAAAAGCCAAAGAATTAATATACCATAGAAATACTTTTATCAGTATGTGCTCAGCCTTCCAAATTTGCCAATTTCAAATTTCCGCTCCTTCCTTCTCCCTTCCCTCCCCGCCATTCTCCCTTCCTCCCCTCCCATCTCTCCCTGCCATTCTCCCCTACCTTCCAGCCCTTCCTTTCTTCCTGCCACAGGATCTCATGTAGCCCTGATTTCCCTGTGTACCTGAGAATGACCTGAACTCCTGATCTCCTGCCTCTGCCTCCCCAGTGCTGGTTTTAGGTATGACCCACCACACATGGCCTTCTAACTCTTTCCAAAGAGGCTATAACCTAGTTATGTCCGTGAAATGTTAGGCTCAAGGTGGCTCAAAATGGATACCATTTCTTTTCTCCATCTTTAGATAACGTTTCTCATGCCAGGCTTGGACACTCGGTTGCTGTCAGTCAGGTCATGATATTGGCGAGCATCTCAGTGTGTTTAGTGTGCTCGTTCCAGAGCCTGCCTGACGAGTGTCCCTTCGAGGGTGACGAATGTGTGCGTGGACAAGCATGAACAGCGCAGCACCTACAAACTGGCAAAGTGGGAACCAAAGCTGACAGGTTTTTTCTTAATTCCAGATGCTAGTTCTCAAGATTGCTATGATATTCCACGAACCTTTCCAAGCGATAGATCTAGTTCCCTGGAAGGCTTCCATAACCAGTCTGTAAGTATTGATGGTGGCATTGTCTGAATCTTCATACGTAGTACCCAAGACTCTGAGACCATGAAATGAAACTAACAATAGACTCCCCATTATGGGCAGATGTGATAGCTGTGTCTTCATGTGCGACAGTGGCTTTGCTTATTAAGAGAAATGTATGTGTGTTTTAGAAAATCAAAACTGTGTTGACAGTGGGCGGTGTCTCAGGTGAGGAGCCGGATGAAAACTATGTCCCCATGAACCCCAACTCGCCGCCACGACAATCCAGCAGCTTCACAGAGCCAACTCAGGAACCAAATTATGTGCCAATGACCCCTGGGACCTTCGATTTTTCTGCATTTGGAATGCAAGTCCCTCCTCCTGCTCATCTGGGCTTCAGGTCCAGCCCAAAGACCCCTCCCAGGAGGCCAGTTCCTGTTGCTGACTGTGAACCACCCCCAGTGGATAGGAACCTCAAGCCGGACAGAAAAGGTAAGGGGAATGTGGCAAGTAGAAGGGTCAGGGCGGGGCGCAGTTAGGGCTGCCTGCCACCATACCTGAACACGGGGCTAGCAGGGCTAGCGAGGGAACAGTCTGAAGTCATTAATACAACCTGGGTCCTTAAGTACAGAAATAATGCTATTTGTGAATGAATGGGATTGCCAGGTCTCCTCAATCTAGAATAGAGGTTACAGGCGAAAATATCCAGAGCAATGGCAGCAACGGGTCACCACTAGGAGAATCTGGATCGTTTGTTCCAAAGCATGTAGGTGGAACATCCAACTCCTGCCTGACTGTCCCCATGCACTGGCGTGTGACTGCCACACATGTCAAGAGTGACCTGAAATCTAGCGGTTTATGTGTATAGCCTCTTGATTGTTTCTTTTGTTTCTGGTTGTTGTTAATGTCTGCCAGCTATTTTGCTTTTTTAAAGAATTGCAAGCCAAACCTAACACTAGATATGACCTTCCCTTGCTATTTTGTATAGTATCAAATTAAAGGGGCATTATAACACACTTGATTGATTATTTAACAATAGTGATGATGTCTGTATAATCTTTTCCCACATCATAACTTTAAAACAACAGCAACAACAAAGTCTGCTCTGGCTCTGGGATGCGCAGAAGATCCAGTTGTGGTTAGTCTGGACTTCCTAAGAAAGGTTGGGTTCCAAAACAGCAGAGCGTGTTAGGTAGGCCTGGTCCTCCTCTTCAGAGGAAACTTCTCAGCCCCTTTGGGTAATGTCTCCTCAAGTTTTAAAAGCTTGGGTGCAAGCCAGACATGGTGACCAATGCTTTTCATCCCAGTGCCTGGGAGGCGGGCGAATTTCTGTGATCCAAAGCCAGCCTGGTCTACGTAGTTCCAGGTCAGCCAGAGCTGTATGTTAAGACTCTGTCTCAAAAACAAAACAAAGCAAACTTAGAATAAGTGTTTTAAATACAACCCACTGTGCTCAGCATACCACTTGCCTGCCTTAGGCTTCATAAGCAACTGAAGTTAGAGTCTGTGTGGTGTGATGGACTCCTGGCTCCTTGCAGGGGAGTTCAAGTCATTTGAAAAGCCACGTGCCATCTATCTATAGCTTTTTCAGAACATGGAATGTTTATGCAAACTTCTTGTTAACCGGGGCTTTAATCATTAACACTAATTATGTTGTTGTGGGAAGCTAAGGCTGAGACAGACAATTTCAAACTAAAGGCTTTGGTTTCATCTTTCACAATATAAATGTATTTATGCTGAAATCGTATAGCACTCTGTGGTCTTCACCCTGTGTGCTTGTCTTGTGGGCGACTCTGCATCCACGCTCGTCCCTTGTTTCTCTTTCCCTCCCTGTGCTCTCTGCCTTGACTGGGTTCTGCTTTCACGAGCTTTGGCCTGCAGCGCCTCTCTGTGGCCTCAGTTCTGAATCCCTTCTGTGCCCTTACCCTGCCCGCACCTGCTTCTAATTGCTTCTGCCATCATTACAGACTTCAGATTGGTTAGAATTCATTAGAGTGGTCCAGGTTGTCTTCTCACACCTGGCTGGGGAGCCTGGCTGCTGCTGCGGCAAATGCCCACTACTGGTCTCACCCATCACCTCCCAGCTACCCATCCTTCCTGATCACGATCTGGAGTTGTTTAGAAAGGGTCCAAGGGCCGCAGGCTTTTTGTCCGTTTTGTTTGCTTTTGTCTTTAACTCAATTAGAAATCCCACTACTTGTTTTCTTCTTGGCATAAAGCATAAGTGAACATGAAGAGATCCATAATTGGACCACAGGTCACTGAAAGATCAGTCCACGAACTGTAGACACCAACTATTGAGATCCTTTTTAAAACATCAAACCAGCGTGTTGCTTTCCTGTAATTAGTTCATGCTAGCAGCAATCTCTGCTTTTGAACCCCCAGCTTAGGAGTTGTGGTAGCGTTAGGCTCCATATAAATGTAGAGGTGGGGTGGAGGGGAAAAGGCAGAGGTTCTAAATCTGACATTGCTGGTATGTCCTGTATTATTATGTAGTGTCTTAGGTCTGTTTCATACTGTGACATATACTATCTCATTAACTACATATTTGAACAGTTATACCTCCCCCTGAACAGAGGGAAAGGACCAACCTCTCTAATACCAGGACATTGAATGCCTCGGGTCTTTATATCAACCTGAAGTGACTTTACCATAGAATAGAACAAAGTACGTTTGAAACGCTTCTGGAGGCTGTCATTCTTCTAAACGTTAGCCGAACTTGAAAAAGGAGGGAGCTGGGTATCCAGCCAGCATGTGAAGGTTCTGACCCCACTCCCAGCATTACACCCTGAGTTCATTGACCACATTATTTATTTTGAAATATTTGCTTAGATACATGACAAGCTGAGAAAGAGCAGCCAGGGCAACATCCAGGGACAGTTATAACAAAATATTAAAGAAGCTATTGAAATCATAGTATCGGTAAAAGGGGTTTTTGCTTTTCTTTCATGTTCTTGTAACCTTTAATCCCAATCAGTAGGATTCCTAGAGGAGGCCTAGGAAAGTTTTTATTGCACGAGGGATACTTTGTCAGCTCACCCTGGGAAGGTCTAACTGTTAAGAAAGGTTCAATTTAGGAGCTGGAGAGATGGCTCAAAGATAAGAGCACTGGCTGCTCTTCCAGAGGTCCTGAGTTCAATTCCCAGCAACCACATGGTGACTCACAACTGTCTGTAGTGAGATCTGGTGTCCTCTTCTGGTATGCAGACATACTTGCAGGCAGAACACTGTACATAATAAAATAAATAAATCTTTAAAAAGAAAAGAAAAACACCGTTTAAAACCCAGATTCCAAGTCTGGCAGTGGTGTGAATGCCTTTAATCCCAGAATTCAGGAGGCAGGCAGATCTCTGAATTGGAGGCCAGCCTAGTCTACAGAGCGAAATCCCTGAACAGCCAGGGCTCCAATGAAAAACACTGGCAAAATAATAATAATAATAATAATAATAATAATAATAATAATAATAATAA